CGTGCGTGGTGTTGATAGTGATTTATTTACATGGTGTTGGTAGCGATTTACGTGGTGTTCCCCCGGCAGTTTTTTTCCTTACCGTAATTTACCACCAAGAACATTCTTGGAACCTTCTTTCGGACCAGGTGCTATTTTGACGACCCTCAACCACCTGAGAGCGAAAGCCACGTCTTTTGGATCTTATTAGAACCGCTCGACCGAGCTATACATGTTCTCTGGATATTTATATCCAGAGTTTTAGGGGGGATCGGAAAGCGTCGACGATCCTGTCAATTAACATTTTTATGGATATATCTGTAATTATTTGAAACCTAAGAGCGAATATTTATATGCTAAAATGACGCAGAAACTAATAAACTGTTTTCTTGTATGCCCAAAAGGGTGAATGATGACCCAGTCGGCCTAGAACAACATTCAAGCAACCTTGTACGAATGTAATCCAGCCACATTCAAGCTACCTTATGGCTTCAGCTTAGGGACCGAACGACGGAGCAGTTAGTAAATACAGTCACACAAACGTCGTGCGTCCAGCTTCAGATATACATGCATCTCGATGCAACACATGTACTCAATACGAAATTAACACTGGGATACGTTTGAAATTGATTTAGAGACGGCAACCATCAAATTCTCAACTAAGAAAAGTAAAAAGTCCCATTGTCGCTGGCGAAGTGGGGTGCATCCTTATTCGCGCTTCAGTTTCTTCCTATTGACAAATATTATATTATTAAATATTAAGTATCCAAATATCCAGAGCTTCCCGGGCGCAGCACGTCATTAGTATTGATAAAAGCAATAGAACATTACGCCGACAGATTTTTACCTCAACGACGTGGCGTCTCATCATTGGTTGAAAATATATGTCACACGCCTTCTTTTCCGCTTAAGTACGCCAGAAATTCTCCGTCCCTTCTTGAATCTGCCGGCTTGAGGAAGGATGGTGAAGCTTTTCTGTGCGATCGTTGGTGTGGCGTATAGCGCTTTCCCTGTGGAGTCCACAGTGGACATCGACGCGAGTCAGCTGGTGGGAGACTTGAAGAAGGTTATCAAGGAGAAGAAGCCCGACACGATCAAGTGCGAAGCAGACAAGCTGCAGCTCTCTCTGGCGAAGAAGGGGGCAGGATGGCTACCAAGTGCGGAACTTCGTGCGATACGAAAAGGAGAGGAGTTACCGGGTTTCGAAAGGGTATCACTGGTGGATACAGAGGATGAGCTGTACTCGACCTATTCGATTCGGGATGTGTTGGACACGAATGGAATGCCACCGCCTCAAACGCGGCAAATTCACGTGCTGGTGGAGGTCCCACCGCGCGAAAGGCACGATTCAGAGAAAGAGGAACGTGCAGTTAAGAAGGTGAAAACAATAGGGACTGAAATTCAGGACGAAACGATGATGGCAGTAGCTGCCACCCTGGACTTCGAGACGTGGGACGTTGGTGGCGTTGTTCTCAACGTTTGTAACGTCGAGCCGGATTTCCCCCAGTGGCTATACGTGCGAAAGGAGACGCTGGATATCATCCAGATTTTCAAGGATCACATCAAAAACGGGTTTAACACTGTGTTCGTGGGAACGCCTGGGGTTGGCAAGAGCACGCTCGTTGTGCTGTTTGCGCTCTACATGGCGTTGTGTCAAAAAAAAACGGATCATCCTGTTTCGGAAGATTAAAAGCAAAGGATATTCCGTGCTGTACATGGATGCAAGCAACAAGCGATACTGGCGGAAAGAGAGCGCGGAACTCAGTGATCTTGATCTTGTGAACGGGGAAGGTTTTGAATTGATTCTGGACGGTTTCACGCAAGATGATGTTAAGACCAACTTTGGACGGCTCGCACGATTCCGTTTGCTTGCCACATCTCAGCAGTATTTAATGCAGAACGACGACATCTCGCTCTGGCGATGCCTAGTGCCATTTTGGTCGAGTTCAGATTTGAACATCATTGGCGCGCATTTTCGTTGGACTGAAAACGATATTAAGGAGAAGTATTTTTACTCAGGTGGAAATTTGCGCGATTTCTTGTCGCCGAAGATCAAGGCCAAAGATTCGATTGACCAAGCTCTTGGCCGCATGGATGAGAATGATGCAGAACTTCTTCATACCCAATATGCTCGGGGCTCGAAGAAACAAGTTGATCGGTTACGGATGACGTCCATTCGACCTGATCCCGCAAACAAAAACAACTTGGACAAGTACAAGTTGTCAAGTTCATGGATTTCTGCGATCACCTCCGAGTATGCGTTGAGGCAACTTGGCAAAATCATTACACCGTCGTACTATGAAAAGTTGTGGTCAAAGGGCCGCGTGCTTGGGGACGATGCGTTAATGGGGATTGCGTTCGAGAATTACGTGCATGCAATGGCAAGGGGTAGAAAGGAAATCGAGTTGCAAGTGAGTGAATACGACCGAACAAAGCAGCATGAGCACACCTACGCTCCCTTGGAGCTCAAAGCCAGCACGTATCGCAATGAAGGAAGGGATGAAGCAGAATGTGAAGCGATGATGTAGCAACTATCCGGTGTAGACTATTGGTATCCGCTCGATCGTTGCTTGGCGACCATCGACAGTGTTGCCAAGTTGAGCATGGATGGACAGGACGTTGTTGGATTGATCCAAATAACGAAGTCCGTCAAACAAAGTATTGATTCAAAGGCACTTGACAAATATGCTGCGCTGTTCCCGGACACTGCCAGTGTCAGATATATTGCGTTGGTACCAGACAGGGAGACGAGCGATAAGTTTCAGCTTTGTCCAGCCGATCCTACAACCCAGATGCTGTTGCATGTGGCGTACGTCGCTGGTTTCCCCAAGTAGTAACTTGGTTGGTTGGTCAAGTAGATGTGTTTTTTTCAGTGTTTCGCACGGTGCGAATCGCACCAAAGAACATATAACAATCTACGGTTGCAGTCTCGTTATTTTACCGTGTCGTGCAATCATCATTGCTGAAAATGAACTCTTATCAGCAGATTCATAACCAAGGACATCCGAAATTCACACGCAAACTGTGCAAACCAAGCGCAAGACATATGTCCACTCGAAGGTGGGCTCAAC